ATGTATATATATTTCCAAGAGAAGAAAATAGAATAGCTCGCATACCAATTCCTTTGCGTCTCCATGGCGCAAGGCAGCCCAATGTCATCACATATGCGATTTGCCTTCCGCTATGTTGTTTGTCTATCTCCACTCGGGCACACACCGCCCCAATAGCGACCCCATTCTCGACGGCTGCCATTCGAGAATCGAATTTTATTCAAAGGTGAGCTCAAATTGCTCGTAGGTGTGCTGTATTCAGCACAGCTAGGTCAGGCGAAAGCTTGGCTTGAACGATGAACTTACATTTTACACCCGAAAAAAATCGAGCGCACATGTGACCATCGTAGCTATACTTATGTGCACCTGGATATAACGATGGAACAGCTTCATACAATCTCAACAAGCAGTGACACGGCTGTCTTTTCAATCACGATACTATCCATCAATACACAGAAGCTCCCAAAACGAGGAGAAACTCCCAAAACAAAGGAGAATTTGTACACATTATATTCGAGGAGATATGACGGGAACATTAAAGTTTGGGAACAACATATGATTTTAATACATACCCAGCCGTGCCATAATTCCTGATTTTATAACTTTTTTATAAAAATCTGCGGTGTACGACACTGGGAAGATTGCCGAATTGAGTGATTTCAACATCTGTGCTTGAATTAAAGTTTTGAATATTTGATAAGCAAGGCGCTCTCGTGACATGATGTTCAACTTGACGATGTAACACAAACAAAGATCGAACCCGAGCACCTGATCTACCATATGCAGCGCGCGTGGAGCAAAAAACAAAGTGTGTGATAGCTCGACGATAGGTATTGAGAGTTCACCAAGAATAAAACTATACGCTTGGGATTGGGTAGTCGCAATCGGTTGAAGGGAAGGCTCAGTACTCGGAGATTCACAGTTTGCAGACACACTTTTCGAATGCGTACGCAGAAGAACAGGAGCACATTTTGACTATTGGACATTGGACTGATAGTTCAGTTGCCAAACCAATAGCGAGTGATGCACTTTCAGCCGGCTGCACATAAGGCCTGTATGTCTGACTGCTCTCACCAACACGGTAGTGTAGTACCCAGGATGCAAAGTAACTTCTTCTGCACCGAAGTTAAGCTCTCAATTAACACAAAGAATCCGTCGAATACATACAAATTGATGCCACGTCTAGAACTCACGGATAAAGATACAGCACACGCCACGTCAGATTGAAGTATAACTCGCGTAAACTAAACAAAAACGCAAACGAAACTGCAGCAGGCACAAGGTTAAACGACACTCCGAGGAAATATTCAGTGGATACGATGATATTAAACACATGAACAAGTGGTACAGCCTTACGTGGACATTTTCGCTGGTTACAGGGTGTAGTTGCAGGCAGTCAGGTCTCATTCTCTTGCAGATCTGCTCGCCGTCGTTCTCGATCTAGACAACAGACACAGATGAGATATACAAGTGAGGTGAATGTGGCAGGATAAATTGAGCATGACATCAACGAGATGGAATTGAGCATACCATCGGATTGTTGCGTATTCGCCGACGTGGCCGGTTGTACTACGTCCATTATTTTTTGGGTAGTAAATTGTTATGCAACGAGATTGT